CACAATCGTCGTACTGACGAGGTCCAATTGTGGTAACGGCAAGAAATGTATACGACTTAATGGACCAAAACATTTTTTACCAATTACAAATATTTCCCATTCCTTTTTCCACTTCGTTCTCCTCATTTTCTACCTTACCTTTAAATACGCAACTTAATGGATCGAAACGTCCTTAGCTCAGCTGGCAATAAAATATAGATTTATAAGAGCGATTATGCTTTATTCCTGTATATATTTATATTACTATTTCTGTATGCGTATTCTTTTACCGCACTTTTACTGACTCATCATATTTTACTTACCTTGCGAAAGGGTGAGTCGTTTTTCGGGTGAGCTAACGATAGCCTGAGTGATGAGATCGGCATAGGACATATTACCCCAGGCGTTACGACGTGTTGTTGATTTTTTATTCGGTGTTACGGCACTCGAATCGGACGTATCAGATGCGGCACTGGATGCAATCACTGGACCCGCTGAATTTGCTCCGCATGGCAATGGTGACGAGATCCTGCAGGAAAAAAAAAACCATCATTCTCTGGAAAATCTGACCACAACACTGAAAAGGTACACACTTCTACCGCTTTTAGAAAAGAACGTTTGGAGATAATAAAACGAACGTCAGGATCGTCAGCAGACTGATCATCACCGAGTGATAATCCATCAATGGTCAAGGCAACTGGAAAAGTTGCCAGACGTACAACTGGAGAACAGCAACAACAAACTGTGGATGACCAACGTACCTAGCAAGCTGCAGATACATATTTCATTTGCGTCCAGCAATATCATCTAATTTCCTCACGAGAAATGAAATCGAAAGGGAGGGCGAAGAGCGGAAATGCAGTCTCAGCAAGGCAGATATGTGATTTGTTCTTCTACAACTGTATTTGCATGAAGCCGTCTTCGCCAAAAAACCAAAGCCCCGCAGCTTGCGAGGCTCATGGATGCGCAGCAGTATCCTTGCAGCAGGACAGCGATAGATCAGTGGCGCCAGCTTGACAAAAATTCCAGGAATTCCTCCAGATGCGCGCATGATGATTCACATCCGCCTTATCTGCTGTACCTCACGAAAATGCTTACACACATCTCGACCTCATATATACACACACAACTGAGTCATCCCCCAATGCCTCACTTTTAGCCTAACAAAAATGCTTACCCGGGCGAAAAAGCGCCGCTTTCGGGCGAGCCCATTAGTGCCGCTGCGGAACTGGCCCCCAATCGACCATTGCTCACATTTTCGGCGCTATCATACAGGCTGAAAGTTTAACAAACTTCATTGGAAGCTACATATTAGCATGTATATGAAAATATCTATGGTTTGCCTCTATAAGGATAAGATCTGATAGGCAATATACGTTGTGCGCCTTGCTGACAC